GGTTAGGGTTAGCGTTAGGTTAAGCGTTAGGTTAAGGGTTAGCGTTAGGTTAAGCGTTAGGTTAAGGGTTAGGTTTAGGGTTAGGTTTGGGGGGTTAGGGTAAGGTTTTCGCTTTATTTTTACATTTTTCGATCTTTTTCGTCACGCTGTGATGACGTCACATACGCGCTTTCGTCGACCGCGCTTTTGTCTACCGCGGTTTTGTGGTGGAACCATTGGACACATAAGAAATTTGTCCTTTGGTGCATATGCTCTCAGTGTACATAAAAAGACAAGATATATTTGTGAAGAATCATACAGTACAACACTTATTGATAGTCATAGAGTACAAATAAGCAACCAGGAAACAATATGAATATAAATAGTAAGGATACAAGCAACAAAGTTACAATCATGCAGTCATAAGTGGGAGGAGATGGCGGATAGGAACGATGAGAAGACTGATAGTAATAGTAATGCAGCCTTAGCCAATGGTTTGACAGTGATGGGAGAATTATTTGTTCAATTGACTGCTGTACCTTATGATTCGTTGCGAATATATCTTGTCTTTTTATGTACACTGAGAGCATATGCACCAAAGACAAATTCCTTGTGTGTCCAATTGGACTTCGCCAATATAGAATTCTATTATCCTGTTTTGGCAGCGCCAGAAGCCCCCCTCCACCCCCACCGCCCTTCTTTCACATTTAAACCTGTTCCCCTCCCAAACCCGTTTGCTAAGCCCTCTCTCCTCCCGAGGGTTCGTAAACGGAGAGGACGCAGGTTGCCAAAAGTAGTAAAACGCTCCTTATGGGTCTTGAACCCCACACTTCATCACCCCCCAAAACAAGGCTCCCTTGAAGAAGGAAGAGGGGTCTCATTTCGTAGACTAGGGATGGGGAGGCGGGCGGGGCTGGAACGGCGGCGGCACCCCTCGCCCACAAAGCAGCCAAGTTTTCCCCTCACAGGACGACGAAGCCCCGGAAGAGCAGCAGCCGCCGCCGCTGGCGCCGCCCGAGAGGAAACCCGGGAACCGAGCCGCCGCCGCCGGTCTCGCGGGAACTCTTCGGAGCGCGTCTCTTCCCCCCCCCACCACCACCCACATTCGCCTCACCTCAGGGCTGATGTAGGAGACGAAGGAGGGCTTGGCCGGCTTAGTCCCCGCGCCCACCCCGGCGCCCAGCATGGCTTGCCCCCACGAAGTCCCCCCGGCGGCCCTGCTGCTGCTGCTGCTCCAGCCGGTGCCGGCGGGCAGGGGCGTCGGCAACGTCGTCGGCGGTGTCGGCAGCTCCTCCCAGGAGGACTCCACATCCTCCGCCTCCGCCAACGCCGCCCTGTTCCGTCTCAAGTAGTTGATCCCTCCCATCGCCGCGACGGGCCTCTGCCTCCTCTCCCGCGCGCCTCGCGGCGGGCCCTCCCCGATCCTCCCCATTTCTGGAGGAACGGACCCGGAGGCGGCGACGCCATTGGGCCGGCGCGACTTCAATCAAGGCGGTTGGACCGCCCATGCCGCGAGGTAGGAAGGAGGTGGGTGGGGGCCTTACGCTCTGATCCTGGAGGGTTGGGAAGAGCGAGAAGAGGAACCAATCACAGCCTCAAGAACGAACTCCGATTGATAGTCGCTTTGTCCAATCAGGGAAGCAAATGCCCCTGTGGCTCCCTGATTGGCTCCTTCTCCTTTTTTTTCTGCTGGAAGTTCGGACTTTGAATTGATTGCCCGTGCTCGTTGTTTATTTATTTACACACAGGCACACACACACACACACAAACACGTAAAAATGCGCTCAAATGAAGTTCTTTTTATCACGCAGAGTGCATTTTTAAAGTCAAATACACGATGAAAAAAATTCAATACATTTTTTAAAATTCTGCATTAATTCTAAAATTTATAATTCTACTTTAAAAATATTCTTAGGGGTTCGATTATTATAAGGCCTGACTAGGTGGCTCAGTGGCTAGGACACTGAGCTTGTCAATCACAAAAGTCATAAAAGTTCGAATCTCTAGTAGGGGTCTCCTGCGTGAGCAGGGGGTTGGACTAGATGACCTCCAAGGTCCCTTCCAATTGTTACTGTTTTAAAATGTTTATGTACAAATACGGTATTGTAGGTAACACACATTTATTGTAAAAGATGACTGAGAACCAGCTGGGTGACTTTGGACCAGTGGGTCTCTCTCAGCCCAATATCTTACAGGGTTATTGCAGGGGGAAACAGTTCATTTAGTGATTGTTCAAAGTTACGAAAGCACTGAAAGATGTGACATGATCATTACAGCATCCCCATGGCAATAAGATTAAAATTCAAATGTTTAGCAACTGGTTCATATTTATGGTTGCAGTGTCCCATATGATTACCTTTTGCTACCTTATGACAAACAAAGTCAATGGGGAAGCCAGAATCACTTAACAAATGGGTTACTAACTTATCAACTGCTGATTCACTTAACAAATATGGCAAGAAAAATCAAAATGGGGCCAAACCAGTGGTGGGTTCCGGAGCCCGTTGCAACCGATACGGTTAAAACGGGGCCCGGCGTCCTCCACCTGAATGCGCTTGCATGCGTCGTACCTGCCAGCGATGCCTCTGCAAGCCTCTGTGATGCTCCAGCTTCTCAGCGGAGCGTCACGCAGTGCTGTACGCGGCATGCACATGCGTGGAAGCGCCAAAGACAGGTAAGGAACTTGGGTGGGTGGATGAGCCCTCCGGGGCACCATACCGGAACAGTACCTGGTGCTCTGGGCAGGCTCCGGTACGCCTGCCTGGTGCCTTCGGCTTCATGCTTGTGCGAACAAAGGGTGATCAGAGCTGAGATGGCAGCTCCGATCGCCCTTTGCTCGCACAAGCATTAAGCCAAAGACACCAGCCTGAAGATGGCGAGTGTGACCTCATCAAAGATACTCTCAATCTTATGCGGGAAAAGACCCGAATACGCCAAGACCTGCATACCTTTACCAGTGAAAATCTACAAAAACATACATATATACATACATACACACACAGACACACACACACATATGCAGGTCTTAGCGTATTCGGGTCTTTTCTCATTTAAGATTGATAGTATTTTGGCGATGTTTCGACGAGGTCACACTCATCATCTTCAGGTTGGTGCTTTTGGCTTCGTACTTGTGCGAGCAAATTGTGATCGGAGCTGCCATTTTTCTATAAATATAGGTGGGTGGGTGTGGAATGTGTGGAATGCCAAGACCTGCATACCTATACCCGTGAAAATCTACGAAAACAAATATACATACATACATACATACATACATACATACATACATACATANGACCGCGATTTTGTCGTCCGCGGTTTTGTGGTGGAACCCTTCTAATCTACATAATAAATGGATATGATGCATCTAGACTTGGAGGCTGGATCAAGCCACAGTTAAATTACAATGAATTATCTATTTTTTTTAAGCCAAAGTTTAAAACAAGTTAACTTTTGTGACCTGAGCTCCCTCTTTTATTCAGACTAGCTCTACAATACAGAACAGGAAGCTACTTAAAGGTATCCATGAGGGAATGAGGTGTCAAAAAAGCAGGTGCAAGCACACAAGTGAAACGTATTTTAAAAACATATCTCAAACATTGCTTTTATGTAAAAAGGAGTTGTGCTTCAATCATGTTCACCATCTTGATGTTTTGGACAACAAGTGCTTCTGAAAGGAAGTACTCTCCTAACAAACTTTTCAGGTCCTCTGTATTCTCACAAATACCCTGCAGCTCATACATAGGAAGTGAAACAGCTGAAGAAAAGATAAGTTTCTTTTCATTTACTTATCCCAGGAGGATCCAAAATCTTAACTCCCAGGAAAAAAACAAACAGGAAGCACTGACCTAGTCAGGCACTCCAAAAATGAATCTGCTTCCCTTGAGCTGCAGATTAACCCATTATATCAACATGCCCAATCAACAATTTTTTTTACAACGCCCACATTTTATTGACATACAACCAATTTTGTTAAGCAATATGTAATAAATTTGCTTTTCAAAAGACTGATGTTATTAATGGAATTTGTCATGATGCAACCATGTAAAAATGAAAATACTTTGGAACATATATCCCTTTCAGCATGATCTTCATGTAAACTTATGTTACAGTGGAAAAAGGAAATTCTCCAAGGGAAGTAAGCTATCTCATACAGTCTTGCAGATTCCAGTGGTACTTAGGATTCTGTATGCTATTTTATCTAAAGTAAACTAGGATTGTCACCAGATAATGGGAAGAAAATGCTTAGGACAGTATGGCTGTATTTGCATACTAAAATCTGAGTGAATTTATTGAAGGAGGGTCTGGAGAATGCAGGCACAGACCTTAGCACAACCGCAACAAAGTTACAATTTTTTGAGCCAAGGTGGCGCAGTGGTTAAATGCAGCACTGCAGGCTACTGCTAGATCAGCAGNTGTTTCCAGGTGTATTTATCCATGTACTGGAGAAGGAAATCTCTGACAATCTGCAGCACCTAAGAGTTTCTGCTGGCACAGCACTTGATCAATGTAATTCTCATCAATTAGTTAAAGAGCTTTCCAAAAGGGAAAAAAAGTTTTTTCACTCTGCAAACCTTCCAAAAACGGCCCGTTTTTTGTGAAAATGGGCCCGTTTGCCCCCAAAAGGGATGAATAGTTTTGGGGGGGCTTGCAGAGTGCTCGGGGGGGGGGGCAAAAACAAGCAAAAAATGGTGCATTTTTTGTGAAAATGGTCTCATTTTTTGTCAAAAGAAAATGCATGCACAGCCTTATGGAGTCTTATAGAGTGCTGCTGGGGGTTGGGGGAGGCCAAGAACGGGCCGTTTTTTGCTTATTTCTGCACTCCTCAGCCCCCAGCAGCTCTCTGAAAGCCTTCATAAGGGTATGCACGGCCATTTTGGTGAAGGGGACGGGGCTTCAGGAAGCAAAAAAATGCTGTATTCAGTGTATATGACACACCCAGATTTTCAGCCTCTTTTTTGAGGAAAAAAGGTGTGTCTTCCACTCTGAAAAATACGGTAAGTAAAAAGAAAGCCTCTGTGAGAGACCAACAGAGTGAACAGTGATGATAGTATGATCTGGAAAAATGTGGTGGAATCTCCAGCTAGATCGGAGGGTGTGTGAGAGCATAGAGTTCCTGTGCTGCAAAATGCAGCACGTCCCCCAGAATCTTTGAAGCCTTAGCTGACTGTTCACAAGGGAATGGCAGCCTGGTTAAATTATTGTAACATAGGTAACGTGTGTTCTGCTTGAGTCTATTCCTTAGTGGTGCTGGTTGTTTGCATTTGACAGAAAGACTCTGCTATTGCTTGAGAGGGTATTTGGATGATTCTACCTAGCATTCTAAACTTATGAAAACTTTTAGTAACTAATGTCCTAGTATATATTATGAATGTGCGGAATACAAGCCAAATGCTTTGGCTGAATTTTAGGAATCGGGAATTATCTTTAATGCTCCTTCTAACAAATTTATTCAACAAAAATGAATATATCAACTTTAGTTCATGGACTTAGGTAAAGTTCAAATGGCTGGTTTGTGAAGAATGCTGCAAATACTGCTGTCTTCCTTGCAGAATGTACTATAAGATGCCTTATAGTACTTACTTTATAAGAAAGCCTTGTACATCAAATGTCTTAACATCACCACAAAGATAATGCTGAATAAAGGAAACATATCTAGTCTGCAAGGCTTGCTGGGTCATTTATGAATAAGTCTTATGATACAAGCCAGATATTCATGATTTTTCAGAAGGAAGTTAGCAATTGAATGGTGTAGAGCCTGGGTCATAGAATTATAGTATCCCTCTGAAAAACCAACTTGTGCCCTCTAATTGAATGGAACTAATAGTTCTAAAATCCTCTTAAAAAAGGCAACTCCTACCAGAAAAATAATCTTCTTGAAAAACAAACATGGGGAAGACATTTTACAAACTGAAATACAGGTAGTCCTTGAGTTACAACCAAAATTAAATAGTCAAATGCCAGTGATTTATCATCTTGCAGTTCTTATACTGAAGCTGAGGGGAATCCACCCAATTTCCAGAATATCTACCAAATCATCTCTTGGATGAGATTATTAACATCAGTATTCCAAACTTCCTTTAAGCCATATGGTGGATTTTCTATCTGATTGCAATATAACCTACACATATTTGAGATTGTTGCTTTTGGTTGTTCTAAGTAGTGAAATATTAAAAATTTGATATTACTGTAACTGAAGGTCTAATATTTCTATTGCTCAAGAGATTTGACTTGATACCAAAAGACCCATGGTAATTTATCACTCATTTATTGCTTTATCTTATCTTTATTAAATTTTTATATATTTCATTTTAGCCATCCATGATCATCCTGATTTATGTATGTTATCAAAGGAGTTAACATAATAGATGCGTAGATAATGAATCTTCACTTTAATAGCCTTCTGAGGAAAGCTGTGCCTGTGTTAGAATTGAATGTCTATTAAATAGCAATGGGATTTTACAGGTGCATAAAGAGTCACTTATATAATGAACATAAAAAGTAAAGACATTGTTCAAACTATCTGCCATACAATGAACTTCATCTTGCTTTTGGCAAAGTACGTATTGCTGGAAATTCAGTTTTGTTTTATTTTTAATCTAAAGCCCACTAAATCAAGGTCAATAAAATCAAGGGTCTATTGTAATGTAGCTTCTGAAAAAAATCAACAAGGCCCAAGAAACTAAATAATGCCTCTTATAGGAAATATACCAATGCAAATATGATACATAAGTTGTGATAATAGCTCATGGTTTTAAAATACTACTTACCCAGCTTGGAAAGTCAGACCAAGTTGGCACTCGCTGACAGAGGTCACGAAGAATACGTATGATAATGACACAGGACTGCAGACCATTAGCTCTAGCCTTGAGAGCAACACAAAATCAAGTTAATCAATCCCAGCAGCAATAGAAAAAGAGGCCTCTTAGAAAAGCTAAAATGCCACTGTTCAATGGAAGCTCAAAAACAGAAAATAAATAAGCCACTTGGAGACATTTCAGGAGCTGCCATTTACAGAAGCATTTTAGGCCATGGTTAGTAGCTTAACAAGTCAAGGTGCACAGGTTATATTACAAGTCTAATATGCCTTGAATTCCTGCACACTTTGACCTAAGATTTATTTGTAACAGTAAATACAATTACCTTCCTATAATAGAAATACAAAAAGTAAAGAGCTAACAAGTAGAGAGAATGAAAGGCTGTGGGAATCTGTTTGGTTTCTAGCTTGTGCCTTTGCTGAAGTGCAAAGTCACAGAACCAAATAGTTTCTCACCTTTCATTCCCTACACTTAATGAGCTTAAAAAAATAAAAAGTAAAAGTCTTACATCTAAAACACAAAGCTTTAAACACACATTCTGTTATTTAAAGCAAAGTTACTCTGCAGCCTTATGGAATACAAAACAGATACCAAACATACAATTCCCCCAGAGCGAGCCAAATATTCAACCTCGCTATCTGGTCAGAAAAACAAGTTGACATCAAATTGGCAAGAACTGAACGAACAGTTCTTCTGTACAAATCTTCAAAGATGATTTCCCCTTCCGCCCCACCCGTCTAGCCATTTAATTTTATATAGGTGTACATATATTCACTATGGGCACCCTGGATTCCCCCCCCCCTTTTTGGTGTAGTTAACATCCAACTGAACAACTGAACTACTCTCTCTCATAAGGCTACAAGAAGAAAGTAAAATGATGTTCCGAACCTGGAACCACTTAGCGTGGCGTAGAGCAGCCAGAGCGTCAAGGCATTTTTGCCTGTCCAAGACGTCCGGTGGGTCTTTCACCATACCCGAAGTTACATCTAAAATGGATTGAATTGGCAAAATGCAGTGAGGAATGGGTGTTTGACCAGGTGAGCAAGACAGTTCCTTAAAATAGCTTCCATGTCACACATGCCATTTATTTTGAAATCCCTGTCTCCAATGTCATCAGCAATATTCCTTAAACTGTGTATCATTTAGTCCAATATGAAAAATAATCAAGAGCATAACAAACTGTTAGCTCTCAATCTTATCTTTTTTACACTCATCTACTAGTGAAAAACCATCTACTGGGAAAATGATTCTCCCCTAAAATTAACATGTTGAAGGAAGAATGGTTGGACACAGTGCACCAGCACGGGAAACACAAGACAGAAGAAACACAAAAATCCACTTGAATGAAGTAAAAGTTACAACAAACTGTGAGCAAAATCTATCTGGAAATTCTCCTGTGCAGGCTTCACTGAACTGAATGGGCATTTGTACAGACTTCCCATTCATTTTAATGAAACTTGTGCAGGAAACGTTCCCAGTGAATTGTGCCTTGTGTTTGTTGAGACAACTTAAAATGACCACATGCCATCTTGAAACAAATTCCCAGTTAAAAGTGAAATTCTCAAGTACTCGAAAGGTACTACAATATCTTACATTAAGTAAGGACAAAGTGTACTTATAGAACAATCAAGGCTATTTAATTTTATGGAGTTGAAAGAAATGTGAAGTACTGTACAAACATTTAAGCCGGGAGCATCTGTACATTTTCATATTTCTTACTCAGTTTTGGACTTAGAGTATTAAAGTGTATGCCATATATATCCATCCCAATTTCATTTAGAAAGATACCAAGAGAAAACTAGAAAGATTTAAGAGAAGAAAAAGGTGGGAAAAACCCGAAACCATGAACACCAAAAGTTCTATAGGAAAAAAAAAAACTAGTCAAAACCTTAAAATGATTTTGCCAATTGTGTCTAAACAGGTGGCAGGTATAATTTTATATCAATTTTAAGTAACTGTGATTTTGAAACTATAACTTAGCAACAGATTTTTATTTTTGCCAAACTTAGCTTGCTGTTACAATAAACATTTAATGTGCCACAAGACACAAATGAACATTAAAATGTAATCTAATGTAAGCAAACATACTTGTAACAGCAAATCAAACACTCAAAAACACAGCAAGGAAAGAATGTAAAGCCAAGGAATTAACAGATCAGGCTTGACAGTCATCATCAATGAAGACATGAAGAGAAACAGGTCAAGAGGAAATGTCAAGCTTGAAATTATGTCATACTTGATCTAGGTACAGAATATTTCAATTTTATAGAGAATGATGTGTCTGCGGAAATCCTTATGAATATTTTCCCATGAGATTTACTGGGTTTATATTCTGTCATTTACTGGCTATCTCTATACAAGTGAACATTGATATCTACTAATCGGAGATTTAAAAGCAAGTGAAAGAAGGCATTAAGATGATAGATACTGTCAAGTGAAAGGCAAAAGAAATTTAAAGATAAAAGGAGCAACTGAGGCCAAAGTCATTATTATTATTTGGTAAGGTATTTTTAAGGTTTATAGCAATAAATATTGTCAATGTAGGCAGTGTATTCTACTTTATATAGCTTGTACTTTTGACTTCACTTACTTTATTGCTGAAGTCTTAAATAATTATTGTTAAATATTTAAAAAAGAACACTAGCATTTCCAACACTATGTAAATAAGTACAAATAATGTTTATTAATAATCATATATAATCAATGAGCAAGAGAAGATATATGATTCACCTCTATTAAAATTAGTTAACATCTTGCCATTGACCTCAGTGTAAGATAAATAATATCCCTCCATAAATCAGTTCTGAAACTTGGAGTCACCAAAAGATCCCAAAGCAGCTACAGAAATTGGGAAGACATCTAGGCTGGATATCCATAAAAGCAGCTTTCCTATAGGTGGATTTTTGCATCTGTTTTAAGATTCCAAATGGATTAACCCCTTAAATTCTAGTCCTTAATCAATGAATTACACATTAGCCATCATTTTTAAAGTGATTGCTTTTCCGTATTCTGTATATAAGGGGTTAATCTTTAGTAAGACATGCTGTGTCCACACTATTTCATTATTAAAATGTTAACAGGTAGGTCATGCTCTTTCAATTCCAGTTATGTATTAAGTATTACCCAGTCAACTATTTCAACACTAGTGTGAACACTGCGTAATTCCAGAGAGAAAGACAAGGACAAGAAGGAAAAAAAACCAACACAAAAGTAACAGTAAATGCTAGGACTATGCAACCAAACACCCTCATTGTTCAAATATGGCAGGTGTGACACTGAGCTTTAAAAACCTTGGTCAAAAATCCTTCCGATGTCTTGGTAGTAATCCCTGACAGGATTCAATTGTCTCTGCTAGAAGGCTTTGGATGGGGACTAACAAAGCTAAGGATAAAAAACAAACATAAAAACAGAAATATTTTGCTGAAGAAACACATTCCACAGCTGTTTCGAGCATTTTTAGTAATATATCCAGAGCAAATTCAGTAAAATTTACTGTTGAATGCACAAAACTGCAAAGCAAAATTCCTATATAATTAACAGTTTTGTGTTACCTTCTCCTTCTTTCATCTCCCTCTTCAGTTTGTAACTGAATAGGATCACACAGGATTAAAGATATCATTTATCAAACAAGAATACATTGAAGTAAATATTTGACTCTTCCAACAAAGCCTTCCTTGTCACCTGAATTCAACTCCCAAAGCCAGCTAAATTCCATCAACCTTTTTAAGACACCGAGCATTAGCTGGAGTAAAAAAAAATATTTTGCAACAAATAAGCAACAATCTTTACTGACTCTTGTTTATTGCAAATCTGCTTTTAAGTATCATCATTTAGACATTTCAAACTTTTTTGCATATTTGTTTAAAGCTGCTCAGTGTCTTGAGGAAATTATTCAAAATAAAAGCTTTGCTTTCTTCAAGGTAATATTTAGCAAGTGAATAAACTTAGAATAGCAACTGTAATTCAAATCTGGATCAGATAAAAATAGAGCTTTGTTTTCTTTTAAGACAGAGAGCAATGTGTGCAGAATTCAAATGCTCTAGTGAAAAAAAACTTTAAATGGTGTTATTTTCATAAATAATGTTGGGTGGTAATCTTTATATGCCACATGTGATTATATTTGCATACAACTATGAAAAATTCATACCATGGCAATTAGGCAAACTTTTTTCTCTTTACATGTAATGTTTCTATTGCATATAAAGCATTCAATTAAAATGTACACTAATGTTCAGCCATTTTTTTCAAAGAAGCTTTTGGATAAAATTTTCTTAAATTATACTTTTAAAATGCGTAATGTTATGAATTCATTCTATGGCTGCACATATGCAACTATCTCTGGCCTCTACCAAGAATTTTAACCCAGTCAACAATGAAACTGTTTTTTTAATGCTTATGGCTTTTTTTTACATTCCTAGACAATAATATAACTGTGAAAATGCTTAGTTTTCAGATGTAAGAAAAAGAAAATAAAGTTCACTTTATCTGATCCAATACAGAGCCAACACATTGCAGACATTAAATTATCATGCTTTGCTGGCTTTAAAATATCTGTAGCTTTCAAAGGATAACAGAAGTGACCCTAAAGCAACGCTGCTGGCACAGTATGACTGCAGAGATTATAAATCCATACTGCTTTTCAAAGCTCCAGTATCTACTTTTCTGATCTCAGCTACCTCTTCGTACTATAAACACACTGCATGTGTACCGTTCGGTTAAAACACTCTGATCAACACCAGGAGCTCCATAAATGACACTCTAGATAAAAAAATCAACCTCAAAAAACTGGAAAAAAATACATACCTTGCTCCAAGCAAAGTCATAAGTGTTTTTAAATTAAAAATAAATTATGCAATTAGACATTAAATACAGCAACCCATATATTAGATAACAAGACTCATCTAAAGTCAGAGACACAATATGATTTCTAATGCAATTTCTTTTTACAGAAGAACATTTCTTCGTGATGGGCTTATAATACTTGCAACAAAATGTTTATTTTCTGAATATTTTTCCAGTAGAATTAAAAAAATAAATAAAATAAAAATAAATAACCTTTTCCAGAAATCTGAGGTTGTTAATTACAGTAAATAAAATAAGAATGAAGGTATTTTTAAAAATACACTCTTGCAAAAATTGCCCATAACTGAATTGAATGTGTATCACATGCCAGCATGTTGCCTTCCAGGACTTAATGCAATCTTAGAATAGCATTAATTAAAATTGAAAATAAAAATCTTTTAACAGATTTCGAACCTCCATCCCTCATGTTCTCTTCCCGAATCACTGGTGATGTCAAAGTTATCGTCACTTGCATTTTTGGTTCCACGCATGAATTCAAAATGATTGCTGCTTCTTGTACAGCACATTTTATTTCATATTTCTCAGGGCTGATTACCTACAGGAAGGAAAAACATTAATACTTTTTCATAAATTAAAAAAATACTGTTCCCCCCCCCTCTTTGATTTATTGCTTGATTTTATGTTGTATGCCGCTGAGAGTCACATCATTTGAATGGGATAGTCTTACAAATAACAATCTAACATAAAATAAACACAAACACAATGAACATCTGTAAAATTCAGTGCTTAGGGAAGTTAGTTTATCTTATAATATATTCTATATCACACACACACACACACAAAAGTGGGAAATGTTTGTTGGTTTTTGTACTGTTGATATAATAATTAGTAATTAATTTTGAAGCCACCCAGAGTTACCATGTATGAGTTGGGCAGCCATATAAATGTGTTTAGTAAATAATACACCCCTCTCCCCAAGACTGTTCTATGGTTTCCAGTGCACTAGAATTCAGTGACTTGAACCCTAAGTTCTGTATAGGATCCAAGTGCCTGTGATGTACAAAACGGTACCCCAACCTGGGGTCCTTCAGCAGATATATACGGGAGTTAAAATAAGAAAATACTTGGAAAGCACCCAGCTGGAAGATAGTCTGTTGTATTTTATTGCTATGTTTCCTCTATTATCATCTATCTAAAACACACACACAAACAAACAAACAAACACACACTTATTATATATAGTCAAGCCCATACAAGTGGGCAAGATCAAGGAAGCGAGAATTATATAGATTTCAGTAAGCTGCTGTATATTTTATCCTAGTCTGGAGAAAATATTAAATTTTGGAAACTCTTAACGAGTATTTCCAACTTTCATTTATAGTAAATTAATTAAAGGAGAATTGCTTTGAATGATTAAAATGTTTCTTCTCAGCTTTCTTTCCACCTTGGGCTAAACTGCTATTTATGACATAAGCTGTTAAATGTCTTGCCTGTTATTTCATGATTGTTTACAATGATTCTCTTCTCCATTCCTTTTCCAGGCCCCCAACAATCTCTCACATATTTAATTTATTTATTTGATTTATATAGCCACCCACCTCACATATGTGACTGGGCAGATAACAAAATAGATAAAAATGAACAGGATACATAATATAAAATAAAAACACAGGACAACTAAGCTTCATAAAATAACCAACAAGGAAGTCAAGAGACGGACTCCATCATGCTTCTGAGTATGGTTCCAGACCAGAGCACAAAACCAAATTTTGGGGGCTTTGCAAAAGACCAACTAATCTAATCTCACGCAGAATAATATTTCACAGGGTGGGCAGAAAAAGCCCTCATAGGTTCCACCAGCCAGCATTCCTTAGCTGACAGCAATTATGTGTCAGCTAATTACCTAGCCTACCTAGTGCACCTGAGTGTTATTGGCCTGAGGTGGCTGCTGTTGGGTAGGGGAGATTTGCCTGATCAACTTACAACCTTCTCTACTAGCTTCGCTATTGATTTTCCTTGTGGAAAGCTGAAATGAAAATTGTGATGTCTTCCTCAGAGGCCTTGGGGAAGAATGAGAGCATTCTTGGCACGTCTGGTATTGCTGACCCTGAGCTGTCGGCTGAATATGCCTCGGCTGGGGAAAACTTGTAGCCCAATGAGGAAGGGGGAGGGGAGCTGCCGGCCTTGGTAGTGACCTCAGTGGAGGCCCCTACCCTTGGAGGGGATTTTAAGCTGTTTGTTTTGGTAATCTATCCAGCCAAAACCTTTATTTTCAAGACTGTTTTGGTTTGGCCATTTGTTTCGCTTTTGGTTATCAATTTGGTCATGAGCCAATTACTGTGCTAGGTTTGCTGCTGGGGGTTAGCTGAAAACCTGAAATGGAACTGTTGAGGGAAATGACTGAATAAAGCTCTCTACACCAACCCTGAAGTGTGGGTGAGTGAGGGCAGCACAGAAATTTGCAAATGGGGATAACATGACAGTGGGATCTTTGTAAATGCTGCTGGTTACCAAGCACGCAAATTGTAATAGGAATAGCATACACACTTATACACTGCTTCAGTGTGCTTTACAGCCCTCTCTAAGTGGTTTAGAGTCAGTATAATGCCCCCAATAATCTGGGTCTGCATTTTACTGACTACAGAAGGATAGACGGCTGAGTCAACCTTGAGCCAGTGAGAATCAAACTGCTGGCAGAATTAGCTTGCAATATTGCATTCTAATCACTTCGCCACCACAGCAATCACACGGTCATAGGTATGGTGTGACAGCCAGAACTGAGGACCATTTATAAGTACTGTTTGTCAGCATCATCACATCCATGTTAAACACTCAGTTAACAAGGACTACCGCTAGCTTGACTAAAAATCCTGACACTGTAATACATTGTGTTCAATTGTTAAAAATTTCCTGTTTCTCATGTTTGTAAAGCAGTAATACAAACTTATATTTTAAACTTATTTAAAGGTTTATCATACATTTGCTTCAAATATATACACTGAAATATATTCACTATATTAAACATATAATTGTTAATAAAATATGGAGTAAACAATTCCCTTTAATTCTCAACATGGGTACTTATAATCTTCGAGCATATAGCATTACTTCAAAATAAGATACTTATGGATATTAAATTATAAATTACAAAAAAAAATCTTTTCCCACGACCTATGAAATGTTGAAGATAGGCTTCTCACTGGAGATGGAAAGATGGAGGAAAAATTAGATATTAGGCAACGTGGCTATTGGTCTTAAGACCCTATATATTTATAGTATAATGGAAAGAAGATGATCACTTCAAGGTTAAAAAACTCTCCCGAAGTATATGTCTTCTCATTCAAAAGCAGAGTGAAAGGAAATTGAAAAACACTTTCCAGTTGCCACTTTCTAGAACTTTGGATTATTCGTAGCCCCCACTCCAACAAACACTACAGATCTCGCTGGACATAGCCTTTATTCTGCTATAATAGCTTCTGAAAATTAGCTCATAATTAATTTACCTGCTTTAAAATAAATGAAAGGGATTTCATTTACTGTCACAACCTTCAATCTTTATAAAAGTGCAAACCAAAGTTAACACCATACATACGGCAAGTTGTTTCGGTAGACTTTCACCAATGCGACTCAATAAACTTTTAGTTGGTTTCTCAGCGCAGAGCAAGACAAGGTTGACATTTCGGTCCCCCCGAAGAAGCAAACCTTTAGCCAATACTCCTACTCGCAGGACCCCTTTCAAAGCTCTGTAAAAAAAATTAAATGTAAATCTATTGAGTTAATCCATCTTAAATTGCTATCATCCTAAATATTTAATGTTAATTATTTTTGGCTTTCAATTTGTTATTTCTTTCAATTCATGCTTAAAAATATTATACAATATTTTTGTTTCCAGTTGGCATGCTGATGAAATTTAGCCCTGTGAGAGCAACAACTCCCTTTTTAAATTATTCATATTTTTGGATGTTATTATAATGCATGGCAGTAAATGCCATAATTTAACTATATGCTATATGAAACAATCTTTATTTTTCTGATGCAAAAAGCTTAACTTTGGAACTAAGAGGAATCAATCAATAAAGAGATGAGTGACAAGGTAGGTATTTTTGGCATTGTTCTTCTACATTAGCCCGATGACAAAACATCGAACAAGGAAAAGTATGCCAAACTGTTTTTAAATTGCAAGTATCTACTGCACTGCTGGGATAACTTTTTATCTGATCAAGAAGAAAACCGCAGATGAGGGGCAAGGAGGTCCTTCCTGGTGGTTTGTGCAAGAAAAAAACCTGTTCCATTAGCATTAGCCCTGGCGTTATCACAGCAACTGGAACAGGAATTTCTGTTGCTAAGTGATGAGGTTGTAAAGCATGTCACATGACATTGCTTAGCTCCAGCATGTCCTTGCAGCTGTTATTAACCCCTGGGACCCAGATGTAAGCATTTAGCATGTCAGCCCTCCCAGGTAAACCAGGCAGGAAACATGACTAGATGAGCTAATTCCACCATATTGTAGGGTTACATTAATAGAAAGTTGTAAGTCTGAAGGTAACACTTTCCCATCATCATTTTAAACTGCTTGGTCAATTAGGGCAGATGCTTCCTAAAAAATTTTGTCTGACCATTAAGTCACTGTGGCTCAATCCCATCTGATTATTTCGGAGGCAGCATCTATTCCCCTTGTCATCCACACTTAGTCATTATACAGGAAGAAGTCCCAGACAAAAAGAGTGATAGGCAATTTGGTGCATGGGTGGGTGGAGTGCTGTGGACAGGAGATTGGTTTGTGTGTGTGTGTGTGTGTGTGTGTGTGTGTGTGTGTACACCACAGGGTGATCAGGGGTACTACAAATAAGCACTATGGAAGATGGACAGGTGAAAAAACAGCAAGATAGACTGCAATTTCCAACTTCCTCCTAACTTCCCCATTGACTTTGCTTGAGGAAAGCTGGCAGGGAACACTGGTTGTAGTTATAAGTCTGGCAATTTCTATCTGGATTGTGCTCATTTGAGTGTAGTTGATGCTGCAACAGCTGAAACTTCATAGTTCAGCCATAATTCCTCTTTAGTCAGTGCTGTCATAATTTTGAATGGTCGCTGAATGAAGAAGAACCCTAACCTACACTCTGACCACAGAAGCCAAGATGTTTAGGCATAGGCCTTGGAATTAATAGTAAATAAGAATCAGGACAATAACTTCAGAAGAAGAAGACAGGAATTCTGAACAATGTTGTGATCTCAAGTACAAATGTGGTTCTATTTTATATTATCTGCTATGCCTAACATGGCTGATAGTAGCTTTCAAAATAAAAGAAATGAGATATAACTGAATGATTAAGAAAAAACAGACCTGTCTTTATTGCCTTCTTTTTTATCATCTCCTTCCTTTGTCTTGTTTTTCTCAGTATCAGTCATGTTATCTGATACAAGTTTCAAAGCACGTTCAGTGATAGAAACTATCTTTTGGACTGCCTGGAGTTCCTCCTCAGTTGGATAGATAGCTGCATGTTTGGTCATCACGTAACGGTCATCAGAGGAGTCAGGTCGACGTAATGGCTACAAAGAGAAGTTAATTCTTAAGTTCAGTTAGTTTTCCAAATAGTTGTGCTACAAACCACATCACTGACATAAAAGATGAATTCAATGTTAGCCAAGCTGCAATGTGCATTCTGAATCTCCATCTCTTCCATGTTTGTGGTAGAATGAAGGAAACAGACAGAGTTTTGACTAATGAACCATTATAATCAAATTATCAAACTAGCAAATATGATGTCTGTTACAGATATTGTATAACCAATTACTCTGACCACAATGAGGCACATTATTGATTTCATTAGAAGTGCATAGAGAGAAGTTATTCTAAGGGATTAAAACTCTTTCAGCATTGAACTCCTGGATCTTTGCACCTAAATGCCTATTCAATGCATCAGCTAAATGAGCTATCCATATCCTGGAACTCAGCTGTGGAAAAATGTAACATCTGTCTCTTTGGACAGTCTGAGGAAAGGTAGATTGTATATAGCATTCTGATAGCTGCATATACAAGCAATTTAAATGGTTGCAGCAAGCTACGAAACTTCCTTGGTATGTTCTCATGAGGCACTATTACATAACAATGCTTCTTTGCTAAAATAAGTCTTCATGTAACATTTGGTCAAAGATCTTCCAATAAGAAATCTTAAAACAAATGAAGGACAGTCATACAAAGAGTTAGTATCAAACATGTTAAGTTTTAAGTAAATAAACACTCACAGCTGGTCCCTGTGGCTGTGGTGGCATTCCTGGTCTAACACCAAGTAGTCCAAGAGGGCCTGGAGGACCATGAGGATATCCTCCATCAGGTATTCTACGACGATCGTCCCAGTGATGCTGCTCATCTTCCATCCTCCTCCAGTACATGTCTTCCTCATAGCGTCTGAAGGATACAAACCAAATAGTAATATATCAACTGTATATCATTGTGTGTGTACACACCTAACTATGAAGGATCCTTTCCGTTTGAAAAGAGATTCTTATCAGTTCAATATGGTCCATTAAGGACTACTTCACCCCTCAAAAAATATATGTTCAAATGAGTATAAATCATTATAAGCTAGCTGGGAAATTACCTCATTTCCATTCGCCATCGTTCTTCTTCTTCACGCCTTCTCCAATATTCTTCTTTCTGCATTTGCTTTCTCATCTTTTCTTCTTGAATCTTTCTTGCCCGGATGCTAGGTTTCACTTCTACTTGTAAGTCTGGATTTACTTTTTTCTGTTTTAAATGTGAATATTTTGAATACATTTACCCAAGACTATTTTGTTTTTGTGCATAGAGTGATAGATACAATTCAATATACGGTTCCAACAATTAATCAGTGAAACAACTTCCCTCCAGAAGTTATGAATGCCCCAACACTGGAAGTCTTTAAGAAGATGTTGGATAGCCATTTGTCTGAAACAGTAGAGAGTTTCCTGCCTAGGCAGGGTGTTGGACTAGAAGGTATCTCCCAACTCTGCTATTGTATTAATATGGTGTACCATCCTACCTACGTTTGTGGCTTTAGAGTAAAAAGAAAAAAGCTTATTCTAAATCCTCTTTATTCTATATAGTGCAATATGCCATATTTTGAATGTATTTCATTAAAATAATCCCACTCAAAATGTTCTAATGGGGCTATTTTGTTTTAAGCTTATATGAAAAGTTCTATTGTTTTGTTCTGAGTATGCCCTAGAATGAAGGGTTTATATATTAGAAATAAAAATCTTTCTAAAAAAAATAGCAATAAAGAATGTTTAGAATTATTTTTGAATGAATTACATTTCATGATTAAATAATTTCTTCTTAGATGCTGCCCACCCTCCTGTCTTTCAGAACTATTGGTATCTCACTATAATAATCTTTTGTTAAAAAGTAAACACTGAATATGCATCAGTTTGTAATGATAGCAAGTATTTGAAACAAAGGATGCTATTTCAAATTGCTGATTCTAAAGTCTATGTCTATTTGTATGAAGTCTTACAATACGCAGCAAAACATATTTTCAATAAACATGCATATGTTCTGAAAACATAATACAAATCATCTCTATTATTTAAGGCTTCTGCAATTCCTATATTTTTTATAATCTCCATAACAGACAAAAGTAGACTTTCACCTTATATTGTAACCGATGACGCCTTCCTTTTAAATGCATCTCTTTAGCATTAGGATCATTAAAGCTACATTCACAAAGCTTGCAGTGGAAACGAATCACTTTTCCCTCATCATTCCGAACCTTTGCAAGAAAGAAAATGTAGTTATCAGCTACAGCTACTTCTTATCATGTGGTAACAACCCTGAATAAAACATTTTCAAGGTAACAACTTAGTTCAAGGCCCCCTACTAGCCCAGAAGGGAGAAATCTATCAATACAAAACTGTCTTCCTCTGCAAAATATAAAAGCATTTCTACTTTTTTATCAGTCTGTTTAATAATATACATCAATCTTCAGTCAGCTGGATGATATAGGCCCGTGATGGCGAACCTATGTCATGCGTGCCACAGGTGTCAGGGCACGCAAGGGTTGTCAGGGCATGTGAGGGTTGTCCTGTCAGCTGGCCAACGCGCATCCACGTGCTAGCCAGCTGACTTGGGCCTTCTTTTGAGGCCATTTTTCTCCCTCCGTAGGTTTCCCTGAAGCCTCTGGAGTGTGAAAAATTGGCCCTATGGCCAAACTGGAAGTTCAGGAACATACTTCCAGTTTGCTCGTAGGGTCGGTTTTAGCCATCCGGAGCCTTCAGAGAAGCCTCCTGAAGGCAAAAAACGACCCTACGAGCAAACCAGGTGACTTCCGGTTTGCTCGTAGAGCCGGTTTTAGCCCTTCGGAGCATTCAAGAGCCTTTAGGAGGCTTCCCTGAAGGCTCCAGAGGACGAGAAACGGCCCTATGGACAAACCAGAAGTCACTTCCAGTTTGCTCATAGGGTCATTTTTGCCCTCCGGAGCCTTCAGGGAAGCTCCTGAAGACCCCAGAGGACAAAAAACGGCTCTATAGATAAACCAGAAGTCACTTCCGGTTTGCTTGTAGGGCTGGTTTTTTCGTGCTCCGGAGGCTTCAGCTCCTGAAGGCCTCCGGGGGTGGGGAGAGGCTGTTTGCACCCTCCCTTGGCTCCTATAAAGCCTCTGGAGCCTGGGAGGGCGAAAAAAGCATGCCCATAACTTGGGGGAGTGCTGGTTTGCACGCATGCACGCTGGGGTTGTGCACATAGCATTATGGGTGTGGCACACCTCCCCACGACCCCCCCCCCTGTGCTCCCTCCGCTTTTGGCATGCGAGCCAAAAAAAGGTTCACCATCATTGATATAGGCCCAGTAGCACTTTCCAGGTAAGGCTCTTCTAAGATGTTATAGATTTTGTTGCTTTTAAAGGCAGAATTCAATGTAAATTATCCAGAGTCATATTTTCAAAAAATATAGAAATAACATGAAGGAGGAGCCAATGTCACGACGAGATGATTGTGTGGTCTCAATACTCTGAGACCACAGCCAACACTTTTGCCACTCAAAAAACCAAAGTGGAAAATGAATATAAAAAGACTAAACCTGCTGATATCTATGGTAATTGGTTTGTTCCTGAAAATGGAAAGAATGGAATACAGAAAGAGGAATTAAATGGAGAGGAATTCTACTTCAAGGGCCAACATATAGAAGAAGATAAAATTAAAGAACCTATGGACTTAAAGAAAGAAATTCCACTAGCAAAAGTTTCGATAACACTGCTGACAATCAAAGAAAAACTGAACAAGGAAACAGAAAGGGGGCATCAAGATTATATGAGAGATCTTATAAGCAAGGAGTTGCTAAGAGAAGTCCATACAAAGCTGATCAAGAAGATGACTAAAGGATTGATACCACAAATGGCAGA